AAAAAAAAAAAAAAAAGATTTTATTTATTTGGGAGAGAGTAAGCGAGAGAGCACAAGAGGGGGTGGGGGGCAGCAGAGGGAGAGGGAAAAGCAGACTCCCCACTGAGCAGGGAGCCCGATGTGGGGCTCAATCCCAGGACCCTGGGAACATGACCGGAGCTGAAGGCAGATGCTCAACCAACTGAGCCACGCAGGCGCCCCTAACCCACAAATTCTTAAGCGAAAGGGCATCTTTATTTTTCTCCAACCTTTCCAATAAAGTTGTTCACCAAGACGCAGAACTCTTTTTGTTTCAGATGCAAAACTTCACTGCTTTTTTCAGATTTTTTTTTCTTTAAATTTAATTTGATGTTTCCTTTCTTATGCAAAAAAAAAAGAAAAATTCTTACAGTTTTGAATCCACAAAACTAAAAATTTAAACAAAAAGGTCCACTTAAAGACTGCCAAGTATTTTTCAGGAATTAAAGCCTAAACATTGGTTGAAGCTATGAAACTTAGGTACAAAGTTTCTTTTAGAAAACATATTAGTAAAAAATAGTTTCTGGGATTCTATTCTGCAAAAATCCCACAAAAGGGTCTGTCCCATCACTTGCTAAGTGGGCGAGAGAACGGAAGCCCCTATTTACCAGTGCTCCTCTGGGGTGGGGGGTGAGCCCAGAAGGAGCTCTCAGTGCAGAGCAATCACTGTCTGACAAGGCTGCCATAACTGTCAGATTAGATTATAAAATTGCTAATAATAAACTGCAATAATTACATTTTGGCTAAAATTGCAGATTTATTCTTGTACCCAGAGGCTCCTTTCTGGCTTTGGTGTCAGCCCAATATTGATTTCACCATTAGGCCATTTGACAATTGTTCCAACTGTGTTAATGCCGTACCTCTTCCACATATATAGTTTTGGGCTGTGATGCCACAGACCTAATTCTCCTTGGAATCCAATATGGTCTATCTGCAGGAACAAGGTCACTGCACTTCTAGAAATGTATCCTATAGCTACACTTACAAGTGCAAAGGGTTGACTCAATTGTGAACGTTTCCATCTTACTATAATTCAGGGTTCCTCCGCTGACACTTTTGACATTGTGGACCAAATAATTTTTGTAGGGGCTTCTCCTGTGCATTGTAGGATGTTCAGCAGCATCCCTGGCCTCTACCCCCCAGATGCCAGTGGCACCCAAAGTCGTGACAAGTCACAACATCCCCAGCTGAGAATCACTGCCTGACTGCTTCTTTATATAACCCCGTGGCTGCAGGGACACAGATACCACAAAGCTTTTCTGATGACAGGAGATGCAGTGGAGAACACCTCTCTGGGTAATGTGAAGGGTAACTCCCATAAGTCCACTGCACCCTGGCTCAGTGGACACAGGCAGAGTGCTAAGAAGAAAACCATTTGCTTTTCTGATGAGGCTGCCGAGACGATCCACTGAAGAACAAATGGTCCTGGGACAGCCGGACATCTACATGTAAAGAGGAGTGAAGCTGGACACACCTCTTCCTTAGACTATACACAAAATTAACCACAAATGATCATAAACCTAAATGTAAGGGCTAAAACTACAGAACTCTGAGAAGAGATCGCAGGTGTAAATCTTTGTGACCTTAAATGGTTTTTCGGATATGAGCCCAAAAAACACAAGCAACCAAAGAAATAACAGAAAAACTGGACTGCATCAAAACTTGAAGACACTATCAAGAAACTGAAAAAACCACCCACAGGATGGGAGGAAAGTATTTGCAAATCATACATCTGGTACAGGTCTAGTATCAGAATACATAAAGAATTCTTAGAACTCACTAATAAGAAGACAACCCGAATAAAAAAAAATGGGCAAATGAGAGTAACAGACAATTCTTCCCAGAAGATACACAGATGGCTGAGAAACACATATAAACACATATAAACGACCGTAGTAAGTGTCATCTAGGATGTGGAGCAACTGGACCCCTCAGCCACTGCTGGTGAGAATGGTGGAGCCACTGTGGAAAGCAGTCTGGCAGTTCCTTGAAAGGTTAAAAAGAATTCCCATCGGACCCAGTAATTCCACTGATAGGTATGTCCCCAAGAGAAATAAAAACCAAAGTCTACATAAAAAGTTGTACACAGATGTTCAGGGCAACATTATTCATAAGAGCCACAGAGTAAAAACAACCCAATAACTCAATGTCCATCAACTAATTAAAGGGTCAGTGTATTATTAAATATTCCACATTTTGGAATACTATTCAGCCTTAAAAACAATAAACACTGACACGGTTTACAACACGGATGGACCTTGAAAACATTATGCTCCGTGAAAGAAGCCAGGCACAAAAGAGCACAGGTCGTGTGGTGCCGTTTATATGAACTGTCCAGGGAAGGCGAACACATAGAGAAAGTAGATGAATGGCTGCCAGCGGCTACGGGGAGCGGGGAGGGGGAAAAGCCGCTTTCTCGTTTATAGTCTGGCCTTCCAAGGGGGTGTGAAGTGGTAGTTCACAGTGGTTTTGATTTGCATTTGGCTACTGATTTTGAGCATCTTTTCATGTGTTTCTCAGCCATTTGTGTATCTTCTAAAAGAATTGTCTGTTACTCGCATTTGCCCATTTTTGCTGATTCACCTAGACTTGCCTCTGAATGATGGTGGGTCACATGCAGGACTTTAGCTGGATCTAGAGATACAAGACCTGCAGCCATCCTGAGGCGTGGCAGCAGGATAACTATTGACGGGTATAGGATTTCTTTCTGGGGTGACGAAAATGTTCTAAAATGGACAGTGGTGATGGCTGCACAACTTTGTGACTATACTAAAAACCACTGAATTGTACACTTTAGACGGGTGAATTATACTGTATGTGAATTCTATCTCCATAAAGCTGTTTTCTTCAAATGTCCCATCTTCTGCCACAGGAATACACTGAATGGAGACTACACTGTTTCTTAAGTCTTGCTCTTTGGTGCAACAGAGTGACTTGTGGAGAGAAACTCCCACAAAGATTCCTTAACGCCAGGGAGCTATCCCCACAGGAAAAGAAGACCTCTTAAGTTTGGAGGGCTGGGATCAAGGCCAGGCTCTCCTTTAATGGCTGAGGGTCCTGGCACAGAAGGGACTTGAGGGTGGCAAGGGAGGGTGGAGCCCATGCAGCTGCACCACCCCTGGCGCCCAGGGGCGTTCTCTCTTCCCAGGAGGAGCCTGAGGCCTCAAGGTGCTCCTGCAGGAATGGCTACCCTGCCCTGTGCACAAAGAGACATGACCTAGAGGAAGAGGGGGCAGTTGGCACTTTCACAGTCACTCCCTGACAGAGGCGGCAGCGACCTGCACCAGCTCAGCCCCCCACCACGCCCACACTGACCAGAAACAGTGCGGGAGAACAGGGGTGGCAGGAGCTTTAGAGCCAGCCAACCCCCAGGCTTGTGGCCTACTCACATCACCTCCCGTGGGGTGCAGGAGAATCGTCAGGTGCAGGAGATTACATGGGGTGACCTATGTAGAGTACTGTGGACAGTTTCGGGCACAGAGGAAGCCCTCAGTTACAGGTAGCTCCCTCCCTCCTCTTCCCTTTCGAGCTCTGCAGGTCAGATATGGGTCTGAAGGGCAAGGAAGCTCAACAGCTCCCTCCAGGAGTAAAGTCTATTGGGAAGCAAGTCAGATGTGCCGACACTCTGCCAATATTCCAGAAATTTCATCACTTCACATCTAAACCAAATCTTGTTGGGAGCATGTGCTCTGAAGTCCAACACCCTAGATTCAAACCCCAGCCTTACTTCTGAGCTGTATGACCTTGGCCAAGTCCCCTATCGTGGTGGAGCCTCAGTATCCTCATCTGAACAGTGAGAACACCAGTTCCTTCCTCGGTAAGTTGAGGTGTGACCAGCAGTGTGCACAGAAGGAACTCCTCAATACATGTTGGCTATTATTTTTATTGTTGCTAATTTCACATTAGTCTCAGCACCACAACAAAATCCCTACCAGCTACCAGCGCTTCGCACCAAAACCTTCATCTAGAGCATACAACCCAGTTCTGGTTGCTTCAGCAGGGCTGCAGAAAGCATCACACACTGAGCATCTTCCTCCCACTGTGGTCTGGCAGCAGTGGGCAGCCACAGCCTCTAGCAGCCCTTGATGAAATCCGTCTGGGGGCACTAGGGCCAAGTTTCCCAGGTTTCAGGCTGACCAGAGCTCCATCCCCACTGGGCATGCTCTGAGTTCAGAACCATCTTCCTGCGTACTTTTTTCCTGGGTGGGACGGGTCTGAGAGAAGGTACTCTGAGGCCTAAGAGTCTGCTCCTGTCAGAAGCTGCCAGGCTCCACTGGCATCTGCTGGGTTGGGTTATCTGCTGTGAGGGAGCGGAGCCTGTTGGCAGAGCTCCCCAGCAGGGGGCACCATCAGTCCAGGCTGAGCCTTTCACCAACTTTCAGACTGAAGCCAGGCGTGACCAAAGCAAGCAGAAGTCCAGCAAAGCTACAGGGTCTGGGCGGCAGGGATGCCAGGCTCACCAGGCACCAGGCCACATACCGGGCTTCCAGAGGCTGCCCAGGTAGCCAGCTCCTCTCACCAACGGCTGGCCTGGCCCTGAAACAAGCTGCCTTCTCCCCAAGAATGCAGAAAACACCTGTGATGATGATCTTGTCAAGACACCAATACAGGGATTCAAAGAGTGACTACAAGCTGCTGCCACATGAACTTGAATCATGTAGGCAAATCCTAATTCTGAGCCAGAGCGATCACCTGAGAGGGGAGCTGCCCTGGAGCCAGCAGCATAGCTTTGGAACACTCTCAATGGAGACAAAACTCTGTCAAGAGCCAGCTAAAGTCCTGCATGTGACCCACCATCATTCAGAGGTAAGTCTAGGTGAATCAGCAATTTGGGTTCCTAACTTGGTCTGGCTCCAGCCCTGTACTGAAATACTCATGGGCCTTAGGGTCTCTTTCCAGATTCCTACCACCCCTGCTGCCAGGAACACGCAGCCCCCAGAGCTCTATTCTCCCACACTACTCCCCGGCAGGCTTGAAAAGGGCTCTTCACCACTCTGCTTTGTGCCCCAGCATTCAAACCGGAGCACAGAAAACCAAAGAGCAAGAAAACTACCAAGTACAGGGCCCTTGAGAGCTGGGAAGACAGTGTGTTCTCTGGGGCTCATCTGCTCATTTGCAGAGTACTCAGGAGAAGAAGAACCTCAAGAAAGAACCCCCCACCCAGCCCTGGGCCCATCCTGGCAGGGTGAGCATCACATAGGCATGTGCCTTCCAGGCCTCAACATCTACCCCTCCCAAAGGCAGGCCTCAGGGGGGTAGGGGTGGGGGAAGGGGCAGGCACCAGTGTGGCTCCAAGAAGGTAGAGAGATAGAAAATACTGGTTTTGTTACTGGTTTCATTATTAGAAAGATCTGGGTCCTCATCATATCTTTATCTTCACGACCAGGATTTATTCTGCTGTTGTTTCTTTCATCTAAAACACAAAGCCAAGAATACTTACCGCCCACAGCTAGTATGAGGATAGAAATTAACATATGTAAGGTCACCCAAGGCCAGCCTGACTAACCTTACCTTTGCCCTCTCCAATGGGCAAAGAATGACCAAATCACACCACATTGTAACCCCAGAGACCATGTGGGAGGCCCTCATATTTAGTAACAGGATGGCTGTTGCCCTTGATGGCCATGATGGAATGAGGCTGATGCATGAACTACCTGTGAAGACAAGCCACTTTGGCAGGTTTCTCTCAAAATGAACATGATCTCCCTTCATCTCTATCCTGACTCACGACATTATGGGTTGAAAGTGATCCCAGATGGAAGGTGGAAAAGCCTCACGGCTGGCAGGGAGTCACCCTACCTGATGACACAGTTGCCTCGGTTGGATGCAAAGATGACGATGGGGGCGATAGAAGATTCCAAGGCCCGGTGCAGGTAGGTGAAGCACTCGATGTCCAGCATGTGGACTTCATCAACAAAGAGCACGCCTGGAACCAGCTCAGCAATGCCCTGATCAATGTACTTATTCACTACCTTGTTAATCTCCCCTCGAAGTTTGTCTAGGAGACAGTAAGAAGAGACAGGCAGTTAGGTGGGGAAGCGGTCACCTTTTCGCCTCTTCCCCATCCCCATTTGATCCAAAGCCAAGTGTGGGGCCCACTTTTACTGCTAACTATATGACCCCAGGCAGGTTATGTTCCCACTTCGGTGTCATGATCTGAAAATAGGGATAATCACCACGGAGAAGTAACAGAACTGGCAGCTTCCCCTGCTGACATGTTAAGTCTGTAATGGCTTTTACAGTTTTGCATGTCTTCACAGGGGCATGCACCCCCCAGTCATGCTCTCCACTTTGCTTTATTACTCACACCCACCCACCTAGTGCCCTGCCACATCCCAGAGAACAGAAGTTGGGGAGCCCTGCGTGAAGTGAGTTTTCATATGCAAATTTTCCTGTTCTGCACTCAGCAAATGACCCTTTCTTTTGGCCCTATATGACAAAGCTTGGGTTAATTAACTTTTAGTCAAGTGCCTAGATGAAGGAATAGGGTGCGTGCAAAAGGCTCTCTGGAAGGAAACCTGTGAGGAATGCAGGTTCTGAGGAAAGGTCCAACCTCAGAGCTCTAGAGGGACGGGTCTCTTAAGAGTTACATGAGACCACCTAAGGTCACAGTTCTTGTTCTCCAAACCAGCTCCTGCACTATCACGAGGAGGGAGCTGCTCACAAATACAGAACACAAAGATCTGATGCTGCATCTTCTACCAAAGCCAGGAGGCAGGGATGGTCAAAAGAGGAGGTCATGGTCAAAACCGTGAAAACACAGAAACTGATCTTGGCGACTCCGCTAGAAAAGTCTCAGATCACTCTGCTGGCTAACACGAAACAGGTAACAGAGGCTTTAATGTTTAACATTTTAAAGTGACAGGTGCTTAGAAAAAAGAGGGATGTACCAGTTGGGAAGAGAAGCGGGGGAAACTAAAGGTCCACAAGGGAGAAACAACATTCCTGCCAAGCCATGGGAAGTGCCCAGGAAGCTGAGCCGGGCAGGCTGGGAGCTGCTTTGTGGCTGCAGAGCAGAGAGACCCGGGACGGAGGCGGTGGAGCTTGCTGTGCTCAGGAGTGCTCTGGCAGGAGCTGTCCTGCACAGCTGAAGTGATACCGTCCACGTTTCCAGGACCTCGAGGGGACCAGATTGTGACGGCCTCCATCTTCAAAGATGAGTGCAAGGATACTGAATGCATTCAAGAGGGTGCACTAGCACTCTGGACCAGACAGCACACAGTATGCTTTATTTCGAGCTGTCTAAAGCAGCCACAGACTGCTAGGATGAAGTCAGGCTCTGAATGACAAGGAAGAAAGAACCTGTCCCAAAGTATTTCCTCCGGTCCGAGGATTCACTCAAAAAGCCTCACACAGTACATCAGAATCCAGGGCCCTACGGTTCTGGTTCTTGCTCGCAGGCCTTGCTGTTTCTCTTACCTGTGATTTCTGTCTTCTTCGGTTTCATTAACTGGCCCATCATAGACAGGATGTCTTGTCCCCCCTGCAAAACAGAAGACCCACAGAGTCAGTCCCGCTTTCTAAGGCAGCTGCAAAGGTCTCCACCACCACCATCACCATCACACTGCTTCCCATTGTCAACTGGACACGGGGTTTTAGGTGTGGAGACCCCAGACACCCTCACTGGAAAGCGTGAGGAACTTTTTTTTTTCAAGATTTTATTTATTTATTTGACAGAGACACAGCGAGAGAGGGAACACAGGCAAGGCTAGTGGGAAAGGCAGAAGCAGGCTTCCCGCGGAGCAGGGGGCCCGATGCAGGGCTCAATCCCAGGACCCTGGGATCACGACCTGAGCCGAAGGTAGACGCTTAATGACTGAGCCACCCAGGTGCCCCACGTGAGGCACTTCTAAACACAGAGGAATTTTTAAGAGGTCCCCCTTGGCCTTCATGGGATGTACCAGCTCTGTGCGGCCTGCCCCAATCTCCTTCTCCTGCCATAGCCTTTTCTGATCCCACATTCCCTGATTAGCCACACAGGACCATACCCTTCTCCAAACACCCGTGCTCTGGTACGATTCAATGCTTTTGCATATTCTAGTCCACCTACCTGGAAGCACAGTCTCTTTTCCGGGAAGCTCCAGTTACCCATCAAAGTTCGGGTCAAATGCCCCCATGGGGCATCCGACGCCTACCCTCTGCCGATGCTCTGGTTCCCTTGGGGATGGATGGACTGTTGAGGTAAGTGTAAGGATGTACTTATCTGCGTTCCCACGTCTCCTCTCTCTAGACTCAACTGCACAGTCACATTCAGCGAGTCCTGCCCTGGGGCTGCTTGGTCGGGGGAGCGACCCTGCAGGATGGCGGGCTGCTAACAGACTCACCGACAGGCTCACCGCCAGCCCCTCCCAGGGCAGTCATCTGCCTAGCGTTTTGTGATCCCTTTCTGCCAGGCCCTGGGACAGAGGTGGAGGTGCTTACTAAATGTTCAGCTATAAAATGTAGCGAATGTTTCCTGAGAACCTACGACATCTGATCCTGCAGGGTAGGAACTATTATGCCCTCTTCACAAAGGAGGAAACTCAAAACCAGAGCACCCTAAATCACAGAAAACCCAGGGACACCAAGCGACTAATGGGCAGAACTCATTAGTGTCGGAGTGACACAATCCCTGACTTCCAACTCTTGGCCAAACACTCTAACCAAGGTGAAGGCTCCCGGGAGGCTGGTTTGGGGACAGCTGTTCCACACACAGACAGACCTCTTGGTCCAAAACGATTCTTCAGCGGGACACCTGGGTGGCTCAGTTGTTAAGCGTCTGCCTTCGTCTCAGGTCATAATCCCTGGGTCCTGGGATCGAGCCCTGCATCGGGCTCCCTGCTCAGTGAGGTGCCTGCTGCTCCCCCTGCTTGTGCGCTTGATCTCTCTCTCTCATTCTCGCTTGCAAATAAATAAATAATAAAATCTTAAAAAAACAAAAACAAACCACAAACGATTCTTCAGCAATCTCTTGGCCAAGGCTCTAAGGGGCAAAACACCCAAGGATCAAATTTCAGGTTAGAAAGCCTATTCCCTGCTAGTGAAAAGGTAGACTCTTAGGATGAAGAGGAAATCAAACTGAAAGACTACCAGGAGGGGAGAGTTGGGGTTTTAAAATCGCACAATTTCCCAGAGATGTCATAGAGTCATACTGTACTTCCCCACATTTTACTAGTCAAGGCCTAAGCATCCGTTCGTCGGCATGAGGAGCAGACACAACTCCCGCTCCAAGCTAAAACACTGAAGATTTCACTGAGCAGGAGGAAAGACACAGCTTGGTCAGGCTTTCGGGAATCCTGCAAAGGGCTCAAAGAACACTCCTGCCCTCCACCATTAACACCCAGAGAATCCCAGGCGTGAGCCCGCTTGCTGGAGGGAAGCCATAGAAGAAGCTGGCTAGCTCAGGGCCAGAGGCTTGGCTGGGGTAAGAAACAATACACATGAAATCATCTGTGACTAGAGCATTTGAATTGGAACAAAGGAGTCCCTCGTAGCTCATGTCGATGTTAATTGCTGAACATTACAGATAGAAAAGGACCGTCTGCCCTAAGAAACGGCAGCAAGACACTGACAATTCATTCCCCGAGCTTCCATGCACACACAAAAGGGCTCGGGTGCCAGGTCATACCCACATCAAGGCAGTACCTGGGGCCGTGCGTTGGCCACATCCAAGTCGTGCAAGGTCACATCCTGGATGATTTCTTTCTTCTTGTGCACATCCCCCTTTGGCAAGGGGACATACTCTTCAGCTTCAAGGTCGAATTCTGTGGCGTAGGTATCACACCTGCCCTGCCTCTGCAGAAAGAAAGAAACCTGAGTGCCCGGTGAGTGTTCACTGCCAAGTCCCCAAATGGCACAGTGCTAAGTGAGATAAAAGTCTCAGTTCCCAACTGCGGGCCTGACAGCCTACCTGACGAACTCCAAATACGCCCCATGCCCCCGCTGCCAAGAGAAGGAAGCTATCTGCTCATCACTGGGCTCCAAAAACCCAGTTGAAAAACACCTGATACTTTCTCCAAATCTTTTCCCCCCTCTCTTTCTTTTAACTGTATGCAATTCCTGATAAAGGGCAAATCCAGTAGATTAACTGGAGACGGAGGGAGCCGTTCAGACTCTTTTGTAGGTGGGTGATTTATCGTATGATATGAAGTATTATGCTCATCCATTAAACAGTGAGGAACACTGTACAGGACACTGAAAATCAGATATAAAAAGAATGCCAACTAATGCAGCATTCCTTTCCACATGCATATATCTTGGGAAGAAAATACCAAAGAGATAAAAGGAAGATTAAACGCACTGCACACTTCAATTTGAAAATGACTACAGTTGTTCTGCTTTCTCACCCGGTACTCCCCCTCTAAACAGGCTTTAGTATTTTTCGAACAGACTGTCTGTTTTAATCATGAGAAGGTTAAAGAATGAAGATAAAGGGAAAGCAAACTTTATTCAACGTAAAGGGCCAACTGCTGACCTTCCCTCAGCATCCCACCAGATGCCAGCCCCTCCCTGCACCCCATACTCCTGAAGAAAGCACCCCCCTTGTCACCTAGGCCTCCTCCTGCGAACCAGGCATGGTGTTACCTTCACGGCCCCACTGTTGGCTTCAATGTAGATCACATCTCCAGCCTCTACTCGCTCTTTCTGCAAACTTTCAAAAATGCTGGGGTCCAGCTTAAAAAAAACAAACAAACAAACCCAAAAACATTTGACTCAGGGAACTGTAATACATATATAGTATCTATTTCCAATATGCTGTAAGGTATCTTTCCACAACGGACTCGAGGTAGCTAATGACTGTATGGAGAAAGTGCATCTGTGTGGGGGTGGGGGTATGTGTGTGCGTCTGCGGATGTGTGTGTGTGGATGTATGAGACAACTGGCTTTGGGGATATGTGTCCTAGAGACAGCAGAAGAATGAGTGTGCCCAAGGGGAACACGAGGGGAGACCTATTATCCGCCTTCCTCTTACTCCTGAGGTCCCAGATTGGCAAATATGATTCTGATTGCTTTTAGGTGAGGCCCACGCTGTCCGTGGGACCACAGGCCCTAAGACCCCCTTTTGAGATTGCTCTCCCTGCTTCAATTCTTCTCCTCCTCACCTCAGGTGGGGGTAGAACTTCCTGCATGTGAAGCACCCACTGGAACCTGCTTGCTCTTTGTGGCTGGCACTTGGTGCTCCTATGATTTTGGTCAAGGCTCTCTGAACCTCAGGCTCCTCATCTGTACAATAGCACCAAGGTATAAATATCCAGAGGGAAACACAAACCAAGCCTTTTGATTCAAATCTGTGTCTGCTCTCTGAGGCCTGCCTGCTTATACCTCCAGGAAAGGAGAGGAGCATATTTTTGACCACTGCTTTTCCCCTGATTGTCCAAATTCAAGCTACCCTTAATGTTCAATATTCTAGGACAGCATCTTTTGTCAGGAGTCAGAATTTAAACATAAGTTGCCTCCAGTTTCTCAAACTTTGTATTTTATAATGTGAAAAAAACGTGGGCTTTATCTCAAAATTAAAGAGTAAAACTCAGGACTCAGTGAAAGAAGCCAGACACAAAAGAACACATGCTGTATGATTCCATTTACATGAAATGTTCAGCAAAGACAAATATATACAAATAGAAAGTGGATTAGTGGTTGCCAGGGGATGTGGGTGGGAATGGGCTATTATCAACAGGCAGGAGGTGTTTTGGGGGGTGATGAAAATGTTCTAAAATTGGACAGTGGTGCTACCTATACCATTCTGTAAATAGATTAAAATTCCTTGAGTTGTACGCTTAAAATGGGTGAATTTTATTTAAAACTAAATCTCAATAAAGCTGTTAGAGACCGTAACCACAGGAACAAACCCGGGGCTCCGTGTCACTGGCAGGGTGGGGCCTGGCAGCCTCCTAAAGCATGAGAACAGTGCTTGGTAAGCCCCTGACGCAGGGCCTGGCACGAGGGAGGGACACGATAATGACGGCAAGTATGATAATTCTCCTCCTTCACAATTCAATACCTACAACAAGCATCTGAACTCCGTTTGTGCAAATACCTTATACATATGCTCAAATTAGCTACTCATTTGGGAAGAAAAACATTTCATTTTCTCCCTTAGGTTATTTTCTTGAAGAAACTGTGCAAAGCAGCCTGGTGGAGAGCTGAAATCTAAACTGCGTGCCTTACTTCAGCTCTCCTACACTGGGGAATATTCCTTTTTTTTTTTTTTTTTTTGCCTCAAGCATTTTAATATTGGTTAATTTCCCAAATGAATTGACTGAAGATGTAATTACTGGAAAAGCAGCAGATCCTACCAAGAAATCTAATTAATACAGAAAGGGAAAGATGAGGGGGAGGTTTAAAAGAGATATTTGCAGAGGCAAGCTCCTGAGATGGAAACCCTGTTAGGAAAAAGAAAAATGACTCTCTGAAGAAGTGACATTTTTATGATCTCCATAAAGCAGTGACCAAGAAACCACCTTACAGAATCAAAGAACCATAAAATCACGGAGGAGAGTGAAGATGGAGAAATTATACGGTCAATCTCCCACAGTTCACAGATGGGCAAACAGAGGCCCAGAGAGCTCAACTCACTCCCAAAGGTCACACAGCAAGTTGGAGGATGGACAGCATAATGGCTGGGACTCACAGAGTCCGCTCTGCCACTTAACCAGCTGTGCAAGCCTAGGATAACTGCTTAACCTCCTGATGAAGTCTCAGTTCCTTCTTCTATAACATGAGGGAAATTACACACATGGCACACATACATGTAGAAAGCTATAAATGACAAAAGATGAAATATTTGTTGAAGCACTTAGCCTGGGCCTGGCACATCCAGTAAATAAGATCTATGATGCTATTATAATTATTATGATATTGTTTATTATAAATAATAAGGCAAAGCCTACAATCCCAATTGCCGCGTTTCTCTAACTGAAGGCTCTCAGAATAACATCAACAGCTACCATGTCTTAGGTAACTTGGAGCTACCCCAGAACTACAACTTTTATATCCTTCTAAGAACTCATTATCCCCATTTAATAGATAAAGAAACTACTGCTCAGAGATTAAGTCACTTGCCAAAAGCCACACTGCTCTCAGCAGCAGAGCCCGGTCTCCCTTTCGGACTTCGCCAGACTCCAAACCACACTCTTCCCCTGGGCGCCCCTGCTACCCACATCCCCAAGGCTAACAAGACAAGTGTCTGAGGAGGGTGACAGAAGGCCTCCCACACTGCCACCACTATGGCTTCTCCACAAAGCCCTCGCCTGAGCAGAGTCAACCACTGAAGCCACTGTAGGTTTCTAGGCTCTGACACATAAAAGGAACTACATTAAGGATTCTGTGTTTGGCCCCTTGGGATGTCCATCTGTCATCTGTTATACAACTCTTACCAGATTACTCAATGCTGCTTCTTTCTGTGAGCATGAACACTGATATCTGAAACATTAATCCGCAGGTTCAGAGACAGGCCCAGAGCCTTTGACACATGATCATAATACGGGATACAGCATGGCAAAAGGTAGACATGACTAACCACACAGCTCAGGTTTTAATGTACAGTTTCCTAGGAGTCAATGAGAAAAGTTAGAGCTATCTTTATTGGGTCTTCTTGTGTACTCGCCCTATTCTAGGTACTGCTTAACACACATAACATCCCCAAACGGCCCTGTGATGTATCATCACCCACAGCGTACGGAGAAAAGTGGGACAAAGAGAGGTTACATCACTTGCCCAAGGCCACACAGTGCTGAGAGATTCTGAGGCAAGACAAAAGAGTCCACACACAGGTACTCACTTTCAACTGTTTGGTTCCTTTGGCCGTTTTAAGTCCTATGATCACATGGCTAATGGTTTTGCCGTACCCTCCCATGGGGTTCTCTGTCTCACATGGAGTCAGCTCTGTGACTTCACCTTCATAAACCTCCTTGGTCTCCTTTATCCGCAGCCCTGGAAGAGATGGCAGGTGAGCCCTGGTGAGAAGCAGAATTCTCTCTCACATATTCATAATCTCTCTCTCTTACTCCTTAGTAGCCTTTTTAGCCACAAAACTTCCATGTCACCAAGACTGACAAGTCAACCTTACTAATGCACATTCAAGGGTATCATTCTGGGTAGAAAAGTACTACAAACATAAATGTAACCTGGAGGAGCTATTCAGAATTCAGAAAAACAATTTTATTTCAACTTTTCAAAGGGACTTTCTAGGTTCAAATCTAGAACTAAATAGACAAGCTATCATTCTCAAAATTGTTTCTCACATCTGCTACACCTCCAAGGGGATGAAATTTAGCTTTAGCCTCTAACCCAGTCTCTGAACCCAAACCATTCTGCTCCACTAGATATGCCCTCGTTTCCTGCATTTTTGACTCTCGAAAAAAATTTTAAAACCAATGGAATAACTCCCCACATCCCTTGTGACACTATCAGGCCTAAGCTAGATATAATTAGAGGTCCATGCCAACAGCAAGTGATACTTGACCTGCCAGGTGTCCTGGGCCTCTGGCTGACCCTCACTGCACACCCAAAGAAGAAAGACCCAATGGTCATTCAGCATTTGCAATGGGTTGTTTTACAAGTTTTCCGAGGCCACAATTTCCAAACCAACTCCCCAATAATAAAGCACAATTTTCAGATTAGAATATTATCAGTGAAGGCAAATGTCTCTCCTTGTTCTAAAGATCAACCACATTAGCTGTTCAATAAATGTTTATTGTCAAACTAAGAACTGTTGGCAAATTAATTTTTAGAACATGATCTCAGTGCCTTTTTATGAAATGTTTTTGCTGCCTAAAGTACTTCACTCCTTTTTGGCTTCGCCAACTCCCCAGTTCAAATACTTACTCCTAGAAAGCTTGCCTGACACACCTTCTTCCTTACCCTCCAGATGACTCCCATGGCAACCTGGGCCTCCCACCCAGCACTCATACATGGGATTGCTGGGACTCGGGAAACCTGACTCCCCTCTGCTAGACTGTCAACAGCCACACACATAAGTGGGTGAATGGAGGAAGTTACTCGAGGGTATGGGGGGTGTCATCAGGCAGACCATCCAGTACCCAAGAAATATGTCTACAGATACTTCCACACATTCTCTGTAATGACCGAGATCTCTAAGGAGGTTGCCACATGATGCAACAGCCCAGGTCCACCATAACACCCCCAAACCTAAAACCCTAAAACCCCAACCCTGGATCACACCTTTCTGCCTTCAAAGTCAACACAGGCATGTCCCTGCTCACTGGTGCAGGGGGACAGGGAAGAGCGACTGGAGGGGGCACAAGGAGCTTCTGGAATGGTTGTTTTTTTTTAGGAGCTTCTGAAGTTCTAATGTGTCTCTTGATGTCGGTGCTGGTTACATGAGTGTATTGACTTTATGAAAACTCACTGAGCTAAATACCTATGATTGTGTTTTTTCTTCTGTGTGTGTATGTGTGTGTGTATATATATACACATATATACATACCCGCATATATATGTATTATGCTTTAATAACATGTTAAAATAACAAAAAGAAAATTGGGTTTGTCTAACAAAGCAATGATAATTACTAGTAAGTAAAGGTTTTCTTACAACAGGAAAACAAATGCATACCACTGAACACCGCTTCTCTGAAAACACATGCACTCACACACAAGCTCTCCCCAGTTCCCAAAGTCTGGGTCAAGGGACACAAATCCTTTTCTCCAAAACCACAGATGTATCACAGGTAAGTTAACAGCCAATAAATCTGTTTTCCAAGGATTCTACATCAACAAGAAAACCATTTTCAGTCACTATACCTACCATCAATCCAGAGGCACGAAAGGAAACATCCTTGGGTCAAACTAGTTGAAGATGCATCCAGAAGGAGTCCCTACATTTAGGGAAAGCTGCAGGCCGCACCAGGAAGAACACACTATAAACCTCTAACTGTGGCGGCCTCTTCACCCATGTAAGTGGCCTTCGCACACAGTCTACAGAGGGCATGCATGTCACTGCCTCATTTGATCCTGCACTGGAATCCTGAGGACGAGGGGAGGGGCCAGCACATCCCAACCTAGCCCTGTGAAACAGCCAGAGTGAGCACTCCTTATGTCCTTTTACAGATTTTACAGAGGGGAGGTCAGCTCCAAGAGGGGAGCCAAGGGTCCTTTCATCCTTCATGGTAGACCCCAGACTAGAGTCCAAGTCTTCTGGCTCTGACACCAGCTTCTTCCCACCATGCCACACCGCACACCACACCACAGGGCGCCAGCTGGCTGACAGCCTTTCCCACAACACTTGGCTCTGTCCTTTCCCCTTCAGGTAACATGTGCCCACTGACTTCAGCAGTCCCTTTCTGCCAGCCCTTGGGTGTGAGCCTAGTCTCCATCTAATTTAAGTTTTGCCCAAAGGAAAAAACAGAAATGTAAGGGAAACCCATAGGTTAAAAAGATGTAAGACACATATCAACCAAGCTATCATGCAGATCCTTATTTGTATCCTGATTCAAATAATAATTCAAAAAATTTTCGAAAAAGGAAAAACACTATAACATGAGACAACTAGAAATTTGAATACTAGGTATTTGATGACATCAAGGAATATATTGTTCGTTTTTTTCTAGGCATGACAGTGGTATAGTGGGGTTTTCTTTAAGTCCTTATTTTGCAGAGATACATATTGAAATATTTAGGGATGAAAAAGTAGGTCTGCAATTAACTTCAAAGGATCTGGGAGGGGAATGATGGGGGCTATAGATCAATCAAGATTAACTATGAGTTGAAGCCTGGTGATGGGACCATGGGGGAAGGTCATCACTTGACTCCTTTTTGTACATTTGAAACTTTCCAAACTAAGAGTAAAAAGGAAAAAAAGCAATGAAATACTGTTCTACCACCTCTAGGATCACTACAATTAAAAGCTGACCATATCAAGAGTTGGTGAGGATGCAGAACAGCGGGAAAGTTTGCACTGCAAATAGGGGTGTAAATTGGTACAAATACTTTAGAAACAACATGGTATAATCTCCTAAAGTTGAACACATGAATACCCTATATTCTGTAATTCAGCTTCTAGGTATACACCTACTAGGTGTAGGCATACTACATGAAACAATACCGATGACTCTCACAAACATAACTTTCTGGAAAAGAAACCAAACACAGAAGAATATTTACTTCTACACTGCCTGATTGCATATATGAGCTTCAGAAACAGGCATAACTACTATAATGTTAGAAGCAAGACAGTCATTAATTTGGAGAAGGAATAAAGGATGGAGATTGGGGGTGGACACAAAGGGTACTCTGGGGTATTGGCAATACTCTCTTTGTTGACTGGGTGCTGACTGCATGGGCTTTCAGTTTATGATAATTCACTGAGCTATACACTTGTGCTCCAGGTACTTTTTTGTTATGTGCACACAAAATGACCAAGTCACTTTAAAAAGAAAAATTTAAGTAAATAATACTAGTGAGACCTGGCAAAGGAGGAACACCGATGGCTTACATTTAGGAGACAATATTCTGGGGCACCTGGGTGGCTCAGTCGTTAAGCGTCTGCATTCAGCTCAGGTCATGATCCCAGGGCCCTGGGATCGAGTCCCGCATCGGGCTCCCTGCTCTGTAGGAGGCCTGCTTCTCCCTCTCCCACTTCCCCTGCTGGTGTTCCCTCTCTCGCTGTGTCTCTGTCAAATAAAATAAAATCTTTAAAAAAAAAAAAAAGGAAACAATATTCTAAACCTCAGCTGGAGTCTACATCATG